AGTAAAATTATCTTAATAGAAAAATTAAATACTGCAGTGTGATAAAACGGCTCAGACAGACTGCAAAGTTTAAAGTGCTCTATTTTATGTCTGATCGTAAAAAGCCAAAATATCTCCAAATTACAAATAAGTTGAATGACCTTTTCTGTCAACAATGTCATCGTCCTTCGAGCTGGTCGTTGGCAGCACTACATTTGCTTCTGTGTCGCTCATTTCTCCACTTTAACTACAATCTTGTCAGCCACTACCGTGTGGGTCAACAGCACCACGTTAGCTGCCCGGTCTGCAACACGCACGTGCACTTGCGCAGTATTTTGTGCGCTTAAACATATATCTAACATTTATCGAACTTTTGTGAAAATTATATCGCAATAATTATCGTTATTGAATTATCGCCCAGCCCTAGAACCTGGTGTTTTTATATACTCTCCTCAATCTGTGCTCTTTTATAGCCCTTAGGTAAAATGTAAGGGACTTGTTCTGATGGACAGAGTAAGTGTCAAAAGCTCTGCTCTATCAGTTATTTTAACTGAATAAGAGGTTGTCGGCAGATGTCTAAACCGGGTGATGTCTGTCCAACTTGCAATGTCAATAAGCAGTATGTGTTTTTAAAGGTTAAAGCAGACACGTTTTCTGCCTAGTAAAACGAGTCTCTCCCCAGGTTCTGTCATCTTACACGGTGGGAATCTGCAGCATCTGGCATGGCTGGGTCTGCAGTGGGCAGTGATGGACCACAGGCCTGCCCTGAGAGACTGGCTGAAGCAGCTCTTCCCTCGCCTGACCCTGGAGACGTCCAAGCTTGACACCAACACCCCCGAATCCATTTGCCTCCTCGATCTGGAGGTATCTCTCGCACCTCTGCCTCTCTGTCATGCTCACCTGCCTGTCGTTCTCTCCCGATTTGTCTGCTCCCTCCAGGGTTCCGACGGTCATGGAAATCCTGGAAGAGTAATATAAAAATGATAAAGTATCCATTCAGTTTTGGGAAATCAAAATGATCACACCTCTATAATCTAATTTTGTTAGCAAGTTTTTAAAAAGAGGCTATGGCACTGCTGTTGCTAACATTACACATTTGTGTTGCGTCAGACCCTCGTGGGAATTTTATTGTGAGCCGTAAGCTAGCCTAGCACCCATGTCAAAATGCCGGGTAAATGTTTAGCAGATGAAAAATACAAGCTATGGATCCGAAAAGATGAAGACTCAGGAAGTGCAAGATGTAAATTATGTGGCAAAACTTTTGACGTGAAGCTGGGCTAGCATGTCACGCGAAGGGTAAAAAAAACACATGGACAATGAGAAGGCTTCAAGAGAAACAATTGGAATCAGCACCTTTTTCAACTTGTCTGCAGCTAGCACAGCGGAGGTTAGCGCGATCACCTCACTCAGTCAGACCGCCTAGCAAACGCAGATGTCTAACAATGACGTACTTCCTGCTGAAGTTTTGTGGGTGCTGAAAGAATTGATCCGCATTATTCATACAAATCGTGCGCCAACGTTGGGCAGCAGTTTAAAACAATGTTCCGTGACGGTGAAATCGCAGCTAAATTTTCTTGTGAAACAACATCCGCATATTTGAATTGCACTTCCAGAATTGCTCCCTATTTTAAAGTGCTGCTTGTCAGAGAAGTGTCACGACAAGCAAGATATGCCCTGCATTTTGATAAGACTCTTAATCACGCACTGGAGCTCGTGCAAATAGATTTACACGGGAGGATTTGGGATGGTGGAGAAGTGAAAACTAGGAACGTAGGCTCGGAGTTTATGGGGCATGCAACTGCTCAGGACTTTATGGAGAAGATGCACATCATGCTCTCAGAGGGTGGACTAAAAAAATCCATTAAGACTGATCTGATTCACAAATGACACATTTCAATATTAATATTGCACTTACTATGTTCAGTTTGTCACAATATTGAGGTATTGGTTAAGCCTGAAGTTATTCAGACAGAAAAGTTTGTTTACACAGCGAAGCATTTTAGCAATGAAAAGGGACACATTTTCTTAGCCTATGTTGGCTTACTGGTGAGGAATGTTCTAGGAATAAACATGCTGTTTAGGTAAATGAAAAGTAATGCTATGCAAGAAAGTATTTCAAATGAAAGTTTTATATATGAAAAATCAGTAGCAACTGTAGACACTTTTATTTATTGTTTTGGTGGTTGTTGTTTTTCGTACAAATGTCCTATGAAATAAATAATAAGGGTGACTTTACACTCGGATATATTGGTCATTCTGTAAGTTGTAGTCCACATTTATGTTCAGTGGTCAGGAGTTGGGCAAGAGGAAAAATGTGCAGAACACGGGCCCAAGGAATTAATTAAATCCCACAATGTGTTGTAGAAGTTGTAAGGCCAACTTATTCATGAAAGTGCAGGAATATAGTCATGGAAATTTGGTTAGAAGTTGTTGAAAAGTTTTGGAATTTTGTCGGTAAAACTGAGTGGGGAACCATGTCCCTCTTTTCTGTTCAGTCTTTCTCTCTTGTTCCCACTTAAATGAAGCTTTGCAAACGTTGGATGTCTCATTTGAATGTGCCTGCTTTTCCAATTTGCTGTCCTGTGCTCCTCCAGGTGTTCCTGTGTGGCGTTGTGTTCACCTCTCACATTCAGCTCCAAGAAACGTCAAACATCGCTCCCAGCTCCCAGCTGCAGGAGCCCATGTGTCTCCCCCTGCAGACCATCAAGCTGCTCTCTACAGACAGGCAGAGATCCTGGTGGGAGGCCATCTATAGCCTGATCCACAAGAAAGCACTGTAAGAGCAATCCTATCCAGAAAGACCTCGACAGAAGAATTAAAAAGCTGCCATCAGCTGCTTTAGTTAGTTTCTTTAGGTTACAAAATATGCAGGAGTCTTTACTGCATCTGCTTACTGTGTAGAAACAGATTTAGTTAAAAATGCATAAAGCTTTGCTACATTGAGTCAGAAGTATGGAGTGTTTTAAAGGGTTTTTGTTATTGTTGCTTGTGAAAGTGCCATGGTTTTAGACGTCAGTGCTGCTTATATGCATGAATGCAGTTTTTTTTTTAAATTAGTTTAACACTAGGAGGTAGTAGTGTATAGCAGGTTCTTTTGACTGATGAACTTTAACTTTAAAAAGAATTTGATCAGGTTCATTTATTTAAAAATAAAATATTCTTGTTATCCTTAAGACCTGGGACCTCTGCAAAACTGCGAATGATAGTCCAGCATGGACTCACCACTTTGAGAGCAATGGAGAAGCACGGCCTGCAGCCATCTCTAGCGATATACTGGGCTCAGCACCTTGCCGAAACGGTGAGTTCTTAATACTTCAGGCCTCTGGTCCCCGTGAAAAGTTATACTTTTGTGTGCGAATCAGACACTCCCAGACTTGCAGGAGCAGTCGAGTTTGTTCTCAGTCTTGTTTCCCCATGTGTGTACGTTTGCGCTGTTTGGAATAATTTTCACTCTGGGTTTGTAGTGTTAAAAGGTGCTAACAGCACCTCATAAGGTGCTGTTGGTGCTAAACAGCGCTGTACAATTACTCTGTAAGAGTACAGTTGTATAACTAAAGTATTCTGCGGTGTAATATTGCAATAATGTCATTTTGGATTGCAATATTGTGACAATGATAATGAACAGCTGTATGTTCGAGCGTATCCAATAGAAGCATGATGTCTTGTTGTCTTTAGGGCAGGAACATGAACTCCTACTACGACCAGAAGGAGTATATTGGCCGCTGTGTTCACTACTGGAAGGTGGTGCTGCCTCTGTTGGAAAAGATCAAGAAGAGGCGCAACATTCCTGAGCCTCTTGACCCCTTGTTTGTTCACTTTCACAGCAAAGATATACAGGTAACAGGCCTTGAACTGTGTGGCTGGAGACTTGGGATTTCATGCTTGGGAAGTGAATGCTACAAATGTCTCAGAAAGCAGCGCAGCAAAGATGTAATTTGCCAAATGCATTGTGCATTGCAGCTTTTGGTCTCCTTGTCTCTAAAAGGAGAGATGGTTTACTACTCAAGTGCAGACAGATGGTGACTCTCATTCTAGTATTGCCGATGTGAAAAGTGTATGGTGAGATAATGGCATACCTGTGGTGTAGACATTGTAGTAATCTGCGAGGGGGGTCATATTGGGCCAAATATATGATAGTTAACTGTGTCTTACATCATTTATCTATATCCCTGTCAAACCTGTCTTTTTAGGTTACAGAAGTTAAAGAATGTGAAGAACAGGCACAGATTGCTTTTGCTACCCTCTTGGATATTGAAGGGAAAACAGAAGATGCAATCGCTGCCCTTGAAGCCATCAATAGTGTTACGTCTAACTGGCAGCTTGCGCAGGTGAGTTGCAGAGTCTTAAGTTATGCCACTAACCTGGTTTTGTTGCAGAATGTTTTTACTAAAAGGTCATTGTTGGCAGATATTTCAGAGGCTGGCTGAAGAAGCAGGAAATGGAGTTGAAGAAAATAAGGAAAGGTGCACAAATTACTTGCAGAAATACAGACAGCACTTGTCTGAAATCTTCAAAGCTAATGTTGCTGAAGTTGATAAGGTAAGTCCCATCTTTATTCATTGCTTTAAACTTAGTCTTGCTTTAACTTATTTTATAAAAAGACTAGTTAAGTCTAGTTTGTCATGTTAATGCCAGGTGGATTAAAAAAATCACGTGGTACTAACAAACACGTGAAAGGTTTTGTAGCTTTTGTAACTTGCTTCTGCTGTGATGTCGGTCCCCAGCTGCCCATCGCCATGGAGGACATGTTCGACCTTCTGAAGGACGTCAACCGGCAGCTGGGGGAGGCCGGTGACGCCATGGAGGAGCAAGAGCAGCTGGCTGTGAGCTCCAGCCCCGCTCAGATCAGCCATCTCTCAGAGCCCGTAGGGGCCAGTTCCCGCATCAAGTTCTCTACTCCCTCCCCTACCAAGACTGTGCCCTCTCCCTCAAAGAGGCATGTGGTATGTTAACATTGCTGGATTTCTGCCGTCTCCATTTACTTGAACCCCGAAGTTGCAAGAATGTTGTGGCTAGACTAAAACTGACAGTGGTGCTTCTGAAAGTTGACTGTCGGAGGGGCACGTATATTTTAATTGTTCTTGCAAAATGCTGAATTCCAAAACTGCAAAGAAATCCAGTAAATTTCGAATTGCCTACTATTTTTTGGTCTATCCACCCAGCTTCTGTTGTGTTTTTCACGTCTCGGCTCTCCCAGTCAGTCGGCTAGAATAACCCAGGACTGGTCCTGTGGTCGGAGTTCAACCTGCACTTGGCCAGGCAGCTCCATGGAAGTCGCAGTTTGCAATGTTGCATTAACGGGCTGTTATACGACCTTTTAATATCTCGGTTGCTTGATAGATTTTCACTAGAGAAACGGAGCTGCCAGGGTTTTGTGAATCCTGAAGCTTGTGTGTGCTGTGGTACTGTCCTTGTCTCCAGTAATAGCGGTTTCTTGTTGCAGTTCTCCCCTAAGACCCCCCCTCACTGGGCAGAGGACCAGAAGTCCCTTCTGCAGATACTTTGTCAACAAGTCGAAGCCTTGAAGGTGAGCTGGAGTCTTCCTTTCCTTCCTGTGGTGATTGCATCAGGGCCTAAGTGAGAATACTAAGAAATGCCCATAATTTTTAAAACCTGCACACTGTCTTTATATGCATACACTGCAAAGAGGAAGAACATTTGGAAAAAATTAAGCATTTTTTTGGCTTAATTTCAGCTGCAAGGTGCCTTTTTTCCAGTAGAAATTGCCAATTTAAAAGTACAATTTAAAAGTATTGTCACTGTACTTGGTGTTTTAGAAACTTGAGTACAATACGTTCTTATCTTTTCTTTAAATAATACCTCTAGCACAATGAATAATGACTTTCATTTGTTTTAATAACAAATTCTTAGTCGTGCTGAGAATGCATACACAGTAGTACAACAGACAACACCACACAATGTAGACAACGGGAACAACAAATGTTGTGGAATATAAACGAGAGAGATACACGTGAGGTGTCGTCATGGAACGGCGCCATCTTGAAAGTCCTAAAAAAAGGTTTTTTGAGATGGACTTTGGGGTTTAAGCTGTGGAGTGTTTAGTTAACGTTTTAGTTTTGTCTGAATGCATGTCTGGCTCACGTGAAGAATATGTGTGCTTAGAATGAAGTCCATGACTTGAGGCACAACTCCTCGGGCACAGCGGCTTCCCCCCACCACCGGCTCTACAGTGAGGCCTACACTGGAGATGCCATTCCTGAGGCCTTTCCTGCAGCGCAGAGTTTCCACGGCGCTCCACTCACAGGTAGGCTTCTAGGGAGAACAATAAGTGCGAGTTTGGTGGCCTTGGCTTCTTCTTTGACAGTGCAGCTGTGGACAGTGTTAGTTTGACAAAGCCATGTAAAAAGTGTTTTATGGTTACTTTTTCTGCTGCATGGGAATTTTATATTTCAGGATAACTTTTGGAAAAGGCTGCTTTTTATCTTTGCAGCAATAAAAAACATTGAGATGGTAAATTGTTCAGCTGCAAGGCTTTAACACGGGTACATCATCCAAAAGTTAATTTGCATTTGAATGCAAATACTATTACAAAACGTCAGCATGCGTAGGCTGCAAAGGAACAAGTAAAGGATTATTCCATGTTGAAACGAAGAGAAAGTAAACAATGTTTCTTTTCAGCATGGAATAAACCTTTACTACTGCAATAATACTTTTCCCCCATCTGGCCTTTGCTATGTGGGTACTGAAAATGTCCTGTAAAATCTTGATTGAATCATTACCAGGCTTTATTATTCTGTAGAACTGGCAAAGATAAGCTTAGGAATTTCAGTATAGAGATAAGAACTTAAGATGTCAATGGCACTAAATGCCAGGCACTGAATCACCCATGGATCATGGCAAATACTATAAAGAATTTTAACAGAATATTTTTAAGGTGTTTACAGTTTGGTCTGTTAAAGTTGAAAGTTTGGTCTGTTAAAGTTGAAAGCAAAATAAAATGGCCAGAGATTCATATGAGATGGAAGGTGTTATTGTTATTTTCCAACTTCCTTGTAATTTAAAGCAACCTAAAAGGGTAGAGTGGAGATGTACTGAACTTTATGATCGAATTGTAATTTTAGTAGGGACATTTTTGGGGGCAAAATCTCATTCCTTCCATGTGCAATCATTTTATTCTTGTATTTGATTTGTTTGATCTGATAGCAATACATGATAATAAATATTTACTTTAGTTCAATGGGTAGCTGCAGATGACATTAAAACTGTTTCTAAATCCCCATAGGTGAGAGAACTACCTTAACCTTCCAGTGTATTGGCTGTTACATATTGATAATGGATTTTAACTTTTATTTGTCACTTCAAAGTAGATCTTTAAATGAAGATTGCAAACAACTGGCACATAACGTTAATATTTAAAATGGTTAATTATTTTAGAAATTGTTTAAATCAATAATCGGATTAATCTGAAGGATTATTGGTTGTTTCTCATTCTAAAGATGGTGATTGGGTCATTTCAGATGATAAACTGTTGAGTTATTGATTTCTCATTCCTTTGTTTTTCAGTGTCCACTACAGGCCCCTCGGTTTACTACAACCAGTCCCCGGCTTACAACTCACAGTATCTCCTTCGTCCAGCAGCAAATGTCACGCCTACCAAGGTTCGTTGTCTTCTGATGTTAATTTTGCTTCTGCCTAGGCTAACAGTCTCGCCATGTGCATTGTTCTTAGAGGGCACTTTGATTTCACACTCGTTTAAAGTGTCACCCCACTTGACAGTCCCGGTTGACTAGCCTGGTACTTGATGGCATCTTTTTCATCGGTGATACCAGCCACCAAATATCAGGGTTTAGAACTTGGAAACTGGGCTAGAGTTTTGTTTAACCCTTCATCCTAGTTTGTCAGTGATAATCCAAGACTACTTTCCAACAACGTCATGCTTTTTTTCTTTTTTTCTTTGCGACAGGGCCCGGTTTATGGGCTCAACAGGCTGACTCCCCAGCAGCACATGTATGCCTATCAGCAGCCTACTCACACGCCTCCGCTGCAAACGACCTCAGCCTGCATGTATTCCCAGGATGTCTACGGGCCGCCACTGCGATTTGAGTCACCCGCTACCAATCTGCTCTCCCCGTACAGCGAGGACTATTATAACCACACTGTCCCCCAGCCCAGCACAAATCCACCTTTGCCTGAGCCGGGCTACTTCACAAAGCCCTCGGCTGGGGTCCAGCCTCCTAAGGCTGCTGAGGGAAAGACCGTGGAATTTGGGAAAATAACCTTTGGGCAGCAGATACCCCTTGAAGGGCCAAAGGGGACGGGGTTTGCGGCAGGAGTAGCTGCCCAGTCCACACCAGCCGCCACTTTCAAGTTCAACTCGAACTTCAAATCCAATGATGGCGACTTCACCTTTTCGTCTGCTCAGGTGAAGAGTAACAGTGAAAGTCTGCTGGGCTTGTTAACCTCTGACATGCCTGCTAAAGCAGAAGGAAATCTTGGACAGAAAGGTCCACCCCAGGAGCCAACACCCAGCCAGGGAGGGATTTTCAGCTTCAGCAGTAAAAACACATCTGGGTTCTCATTTGCTGAGGCAGCTGCCCAGAGCCAGAACAGACCGGGCCTGTTTGGTAAAACTGATCAGCCGTTCAGTTTCAAGGATGTGAGCAAGTCCGTGTTTAGCATGGCCAGTGCGGAGCAGCAGGAGGGAAGAGGAGGCGAGAGTGATAACGAAAGCATGCATGTTGAGGAAGATGAAGATGGGCCTCACTTTGAGCCGATTGTGCCCCTCCCAGAAAAAGTAGATGTGAAAACTGGAGAGGAAGATGAGGAAGAGATGTTCTGCAACCGCTCCAAGCTTTTCAGATTTGATACCGAAACAAAAGAATGGAAAGAGAGAGGCATTGGGAGTATCAAGATCTTGAGACACAGGACATCAGGTAAAGTCCGAATCTTGATGAGAAGGGAGCAAGTGCTGAAAATCTGCGCCAATCATTACATCATGCCTGACATGGTACTGAAACCAAATGCTGGCTCTGATAAGTCCTGGGTCTGGCACGCTATTGATTATGCAGACGAAATGCCAAAGCCAGAGCAGCTTGCTATCCGGTTTAAAACTGCCGAAGAGGCTTCTCTTTTCAAAGCCAAGTTTGAAGAGGCCCAAAGGGTGGTGACAACCAAAGGTGCATCTCCATTAAAACAAGATCACCAAATGAGGAAAGAAGCTTCTCCCAGTGCTCAAGTAGCTACCAGAGACTCCGGGTTTGGTGCTCAATTTGCAAAGAAAGAAGGGGAGTGGGATTGTAGTGTGTGTTATGTGAGAAACACTGCATCCGCTGTGCTTTGTGTTGCCTGTCAAACCAGCAATCCAAATGCCAAAGCACAGCCAGGCACTAAATCACCCATGGAAGCTGCTAAAGAATTTACAATGTCTGCTCCAGGAAGCTTTAAGTTTGGGTTTGGTAAGGACGCTTCCAAAGTCACCAGCAGTGCTGGCTTTGGAGCCCAGTTTGGATCTCTTCAGATGCCCACTACATTTAATTTTGGAAGTTGCACTGAAACCTCCAAAGCACCCATCCCTGTTGGTTTTGGTGCTCAGTTTGACAAGAAACCAGGTCAGTGGGATTGTGATGTGTGCGCAGTGCGAAACGAGGCCTGTGTTAGCCAGTGTATAGCTTGTAACAGTCGTAATCCAGCTAATCAGGCTACAGTTCCTGCCCCCGCTGCAGCGACTCCTTCGCAATTTAACTTTGGAGTGAACAGCAACAAGACCACCTCTGTGATCACAGCAGGGTTTGGAGATAAGTTTTCCAAGAAGGATGGTGAATGGGACTGCGACATGTGTCTGGTTAGAAATACATCATCTGCAGTTAAATGTGTATCTTGTCAGACTCCCAATCCAAACTCTAAAGCTGATTCGACTAAATCCAGTGCCTTTGGACAGTCAGGGTTTGAAGCGCCATTTGTCAAGGAAGGGCAGTGGGACTGTGAATCCTGCTTGGTTAGGAATGAAGCTTCTAATACCAAGTGCCTTTCCTGTCAAACTGCTCGAAAAGGTTCTGCTTTTACTTTTGGAATCTCAAGTGATAAAAGCAAGTCTCTTCAAAATGATTTGGCAGCACAGTTTGCTATGAAAGAGGGGCAATGGGACTGCAACACATGTTTGGTTAGAAATGAAGGCTCTTCTGCTGCATGCGTCTCCTGTCAGACACCAAACCCAAATGCCAAAAGCTCTACTTCAGCAACCCCATCTAGTTCCTCTTTTACTTTTAGCCTCAGTGAGGCTGCCACGAAACAGCCTCCACCAACAGGATTTAAAGCCAATTTTGACACTAGCAGTACATTAAAATTTAGTCAAGTTGCTGATAAGAGCTCATCAGGGTCCTTCAAGTTTGAGCCCCTTCCATCACAGGCCAGCAACAAAACCACCAGCAGTGGAGGATTTTCCTTTTCAATGCCAGTGCCTCCAGGGGGATTCAAGTTTGGCACTTCAGAGGTGGGAAAGCAAACCAGTACAGCTGAAAATCCGACCTCAGTAGGAAGTTCAGCTTCCCTGTTTCTGAAGAACTTTGCAGAGCAACACCGAGAAAAAGAAAAGGCATCAAGCACAGGCACCACTACAACCTTAACCTCAGCTGAGCAGGAAGAGCATGATGCAAATCCTTTGTTTTCTGGCAAACCCAACACCTTTACCTTTGCTGATCTTGCTAAATCCTCACAAGAAGGTGATTTCCAGTTTGGACAGAACGATCCCAATTTCAAAGGGTTTTCAGGAGCTGGGGCGCAGTTGTTTTCTTCTAGCCAGGCAGAGCCTAAGGCAGATGGCCCTGTAGATCAGGATGAGGAGGATATGTACAAAACGGAAGAGAATGATGACATTCAGTTTGAGCCTGTCGTTCAGATGCCCGCAAAGGTGGATTTGATCACCGGAGAGGAAGACGAGGAGGTGCTTTATTCTCAGAGAGTCAAGCTTTTCAGATTTGATGCAGAGAGCAGTCAGTGGAAAGAGAGGGGGGTGGGAAATATAAAGCTGTTAAAGAATCAGGAAAATGGCAGACTGAGAGTGCTCATGAGGAGGGAGCAGGTGCTGAAAGTTTGCGCTAACCACTGGATCACCACCACCATGAACCTGAAGCCCCTCTCCGGCTCTGACCGCGCCTGGATGTGGCTGGCCAATGACTTCTCTGATGGAGATGCCAAATTGGAGCAGCTTGCAGCCAAGTTTAAAACCCCGGAGTTAGCAGAGGAGTTCAAGCAGAAGTTTGAAGAGTGCCAGAGACTGCTGTTGGATATACCTTTGCAGACCCCTCACAAACTGGTGGACACTGGAAGGACTGCACATCTTATCCAGAAAGCAGAAGAGATGAAGTCAGGCTTGAAGGACCTGAAATCCTTCCTGACTGATGACAAGGCCAAGATCAAAGAAGATGACACCCAAGCAGGTTGCTCAACTCCCAGCAGTACATCTGGTTTGATTATCAAACCACATGCTGAAAGCACTGGACCCACCTTAGAGTGGGACAACTATGATCTGCAAGGAGACGCCCTGGATGACAGTGCTGAGACTTCAGTCTATGCCTCTCCACTTGCTAGCAGTCCCGTTCGAAAGAATTTGTTCCGTTTTGGTGAATCCACAGCAGGCTTTAGCTTTAGTTTCCAGCCTGTGTTAAGCCCTTCTAAATCTCCTTCTAAGCTGAACCAAAGCAGGGTCTCAGTTGGCACAGATGAAGATTCTGAAACAACTCAGGAAGAGGAAAGAGATGGCCAGTATTTTGAGCCTGTTGTACCTTTACCAGATCTAGTAGAGGTGTCTACTGGGGAAGAAAATGAGCAAGTTGTGTTCAGCCACAGAGCCAAGCTTTATCGTTACGACAAAGACCTGAGCCAGTGGAAGGAGAGGGGCATCGGGGACCTAAAGATTCTACAGAACTATGACACCAAACGGGTTCGAGTGGTGATGAGAAGGGACCAGGTGCTTAAACTTTGCGCCAACCACTGGATAACAAAGGACATGAAGCTGGAGCCTATGAAGGGGGCTGAACGAGCTTGGATCTGGAGTGCTTTTGACTTCACCGAAGGGGAGGGGAGAGTTGAGCAGCTGGCTGTCCGCTTCAAGCTACAGGAAGTAGCCAACTCCTTCAAGGAGCTCTTCGATGAGGCCAGGAAAGCCCAGGAGAATGATGCTCTGGTGGCACCGAAGACACCCGAGGAGAAAAATCTCCACAAATCCCCTTGTGGCAAGGCTGCTGTGGCCGTGCTCGAGGAAACCACCAGAGACAGGACGGACCTGCCTCCGCAGGGTGACCCAGCCCCTGGCGACACAGTCTCAGATGCTGCACCCCACAGCCCCGACAAACCCTCCAAAGCCATGATATCACCTCCCAAGTTTGTCTTTGGCTCCGAGTCCGTTAAGAACATCTTCACGAAATCTGTCTCTTTCGGCAGTACTGCCCCTTCCAAGGAATTGTTTGGCTTCAGCTTCCAGGCACCCCCCAAAGAGGGTACTGGCCCCTCATCCGCAAGCACGCAAGCAGCAGCAGAGAGTGTCCATGAGAGTAGTAAGGCATCTTCTCAGCCAGTCAGTGCTGTTACATCAACTCCATCAACACCCTCTGCGTTCAAACAACCAGAGAAAGGTGAGAGCTATTTTTTAAGCTTTTTTGTTTGAATATCATAATTTTTTTTTCCCTCCATTGCCATAACCCAGCAACCCTGACTCATACCTGCATCTCCTTCTTAGGCTTCATTAAGTGGAAATAGGAATGTTTCAGATTGCTTCAGTCATGAAGATCAGTTTGTCCGCTCTGCTTCATCCTCAATGCAAGCCATCATATTTGTTTAATCCTATTGTGATGTTTTGGTGACCTAAGTTTCGTTTAGCATAGCGAGTCCCGATCCACCTTCACAGGGTAAAAAGGTTATTTTCCCTCCTCAACCTTAATGACCAGCAAGTTAAGTGCAGTGTCTTGCACTGGCAGTGGGCATTCTTTGAACATTGTAGGACTTGCATTGTGTCCTGTCTATAAAACCCAGACAACAGAGTTAAGAGTAGTTAACTGCTAAGTCTCACTGGGTAATTGTTTCAAAATTAACTTTCAACATGCAGTTATTAAGCTAGAATGGTTGGCAGCATGAAGTTGTGACGCTGGTTAAGAACTAGCAGGCACCCATAGTAAAATGCTGGAAGCTCTTTTCCTTTCACTCGACGAAGTGGTTCTTGATGCACAGAGCACATTTTAAGAGTTAAAATACTTTTCCAGAGCAACTAATTATCTGACAGAACTACCAGGCTCTAAGCCTCTGTCTCACCCAGCAACCATTATTTTTTTAGGATTGGATTTTAGGCTTTTCAAAGATAACCCTATGGCTTTTTGGACCAGCACATCATCCACCCAATTCGAACCCAAAGGTATTTTGTCACTGCACCGCGCGTACTGTGACATCACCTGCTGAGCTGTCACCCCCACTGGCAACCGCTGCCAGAGTAACCTGGCTGTATGGTGTGAAAACATGAACGTTTGTGCAAGAGCCTAACCTGTTGCATGTCCATTGTGTTTGAGTTGGACTTGGCAAGCAAGCAAGCAAAGCAGCTGGTGTTCGCGTATGGTTTATGTTAGGACGGTTTTAGGAGTGCGCTGTTATTGAAATAAAAATTCCGATTGGCACACCGGATCACAAAGGTGCAAGCCAGTTGGCTTCCCCATGTTGGATGTCCGAGAAACTACTGTGTACAGCGCAAGTTACAAGCAAGCGCCCGGAAATCCTGCCAAAGCTGCTTCAAGGCTTTTGAAACTGGAAACGCAAAGGAAAACCCTGCTTTAGCAGTGCACCCTGGAAGTAGCTCGAAGGTCTGCCACTTTTACAGCACAGTATAAACTGTGGTACAACTACAGTAATGCCAATCCTCTTTGCAGCCTGTCTAATGTAATGTCATTGCACAGGCTTTAAGTGAATTATCAGAGGCGGCGAGATCCAGGCGCTCTGTGGTATTGTTGAGAAATGGACAGATATGTTAATCTATCCACCTAATCCTTAGGTTTTAGTCTCTGTGTATTCAGTCTTACTGGGATTCAAGGGTCTTTGTGGTATCTTATGGATTTCAATTCTAGGCCTCTGTGTCAGTTATAGTTTAGTGCATCATTCCAGTGTATTCATACTGCTCTTTATGGTTTGTGTCAAACAGCTCTGGGAATGCATGCCAGTTTATTAATTAGACCTTGCATGCATGTGTATTTGTGTGAGACTAACCTCCAGAAATGCAACGTCTCTTCTTCATATAGGATCTGTGTTCACCAAGGCAATGTAAATGTAACTCCATAGTTTTTTGTTCTGAGAGTTAATCTTCTCGATAAACTAATGGTGCATTATATTTATGTGAATTCTGTCCCTTAAGGGTCCTTCATTTCCTATTTCAATTTGTCAATTGTATTATCATTTACGAAAATGCTGCAATTTGGGAAGGGCTTGGATTGCGAACAAGGGACTTTCCTGTTTTACTAAGAAATAATCTCAGGGTAAAACATGCACTAGACATATACTAGAATTTATGAGGCACTTTAACTAGTTCTGTTTTTATTTTCATGAATAGCAACTTTAAAATGATTCACTTCATGAGTCTCTGCAGAGATTTAGCAATTATTATGGTCAGTGCAATTTTTTTTACAAATGAGAAACAGGAGCGTGTGTTACAATTGTACGATTTTCTATTTTCGGTCAAGCTGCCAGTCTGGGGGGGAAAGAGACAGTCCCAGGCCAAGCCCAGCCCGAGTCCAGCGCTGCTGCTGCAGAGTCTGCTCCAGAAGAGGGGAATCTAAAAGCGACGGGCTCTGCTGAGGTCCTGATCGTGTTTGAGCAGCAGCCTACCAGAGAGCAGGAAGAGATGGCTCGGTCCCTCATGCTGCCCTGCACGTTCTTCTGCTACAAGAACAAGCCCGGCTACATGAGCGATGACCAGGACGATGGTGAGACACGGACCGACCTGTTTCACTGCTGTCTGGTGTAGGCTGGCGTCACAAGTGACAAAGAACAGAAAGCTTCTTTGCTACCTTTCTAATCTTCAGTTTTGCAGGCTAGCCTTTTGCTTTAAAAAAAATATTTAAAGGGTGAACGGTTCTATAAAACAACTGAACAAATGTGAATAAAACAGGCTTCTAGTCAAGGCAACTATTTTAATTCCAGTTTCAGAAGCTCTTTTGTTTTAGTTAATATTCTATAAATATTCACCTTGAACTGTGAATCAGGTGGTTAATTAGTTTGTTACATCATTTCTTTTTTTAAATTTAAAAGAGCTTTGTTAAAGTTTAGATTACTTCCTTGAATAATGCATACCATTTTCCTAAAATTCATGAATTCCTGGCTTACTGCAAAATGTCATGTCATTTACCAAACTGCTTTATACCCTATGGTGTCATGGGAAGCGGGATCCTATTCATCAAGCAGTGAGCGCACGGCAGGATAGACCCTGGACAGTGCGCCAGTTCATCACAGGGCAACTGCAAACCAATCCTACATGGGGACAATTTGGAGGGTGGAAATTTGGCCTGGACACCTGGATAACTCCCTACTCTTATCGAGATCTTAAATGACCACTGAGAGTCAGAATGTCTCATCTGAAAGACGGCGCCCACTAGAGTATAGTGTCCTCGCCCACACAGACCACAGGGTGGGCGCCCCCTGCTGGTCCCACTGATACCACTTCTAGCAGCAACCTTAGCTTCCTAGGAGGTCTCCCATCCAGATACTGACCAGGCTCATCCCTGCTTAACTTCAGTGGGTAGCCAGATGAGAGCTATAGGGTGATATGGCTGCTGGTATTAAAATTATGTTGTAAATATTTTTAACATGTTTTTGCCTGTAGATGAAGATTATGATACAGCAGTGAAGAAGCTAAATGGAAAACTGTATCCTGACCAGCCAGAAAGGCAAAGAAAAAGTGAAGAAACAGGTATGTACTGCATCTGTTCCTAGACTGTTAATATACTATTTGGAGTATCTGATCATGTTCCTTGGAGAACATGTCTCCAAGGAACGATGTCCAATTAAGCTTAAATGAATTGTATTAGTAGCCCATCATAACTTCTTTATCCGAGACTCGGGACCACCACCATCAGGAGGGTGAGGCAATGTTAAAAATAAGTCAGATGGTTTATTCGTCTTGGAAACAAGTGGGCTCAAGATTGAGTCACCATCCCCAACCTGACTGAACTTAATTTCCAATATCTTTCCCAAATAATGCTGAAAGGTTTGTGTCCCTCGGCAGTGGGATCAGTTAAAATAATTATTAAAGTGAATAGTAGCATCTTGATTAAAGGTCTGTTGAAGTCGAATTGCCAAAGATGCCCTTTCCTGCAGAATTAAGTGGCATGGGCATGTACATTAAGTAACTGGACCGGAGGTTTTCATAAACATAAGGTGGTTTTACAGAATCTAACATAGGGCCAGAACATTATTGAAAGGATAGAAAAATTAAAACTCTCTCTCACACTTTGTGCAGCATGACTTGGTTATCAGAGGTTCTAGGAGTTTATTTTCCATAGTAATTGGCTTTGAAATCTTTCTTTGGTAAGGAGATGCTTCCTTTCTGTGGCAAAATGGGTAAGATCTACCTGCAAGCTTACCTCTTGGAATTCCTGCCTAGACTTGGTTGAATTAAAAGAAAGTGTTTATCATCCATGTGACTGTTTTGTTTGAAATCAAACAGGTTGATTGTTTTAAAATTTTCTGGTACCACTTTACTAGAAATTTGATAAAAGTTTGATTAAAACCAGTAAAAAGTGCGTCCAGTGACTGGTAACGCTGATCCTGACCCCCCAGCAGTGCAGCGTCGGGAGCCGTTGACGCCAGCAGACAGCCGAGATGCAGTAGCGCAGACGAGCCAGCAGGGGGAGCCACAACACCCTGCAGCCGCAGAGGCCTCGGCCTCGGCAGCGCAGGCT